GCAGATGCTGACGTTGGGGGGGATGCCGTACGTTAGTTTAAGACCTCACCAAGCTGCGAAAGAACGATCAATGAGCGATTCGCAGGGTCAAACGAATCATGGCCGCATACACTGACGACAGGCCATTCTCCGTGGAGCTCGTCGGCGCTGTGAGTGTGTCTCCCAACACAGATGCCTTTCAACCTGACTGTTTTTTTGAGGTTATCCGACAATGTTCGTTCATAGACAAGATGCACAACTTCGGCTGGACGGCTCCTAGCTTCCTTAACAATCAACAGGATGAGGTTGTCTTGGTTAATGCTGTCGCTAGATACCATGCGTAAGGTCCTTCCCATACCGTCGCTTGACACGTTAATGGATTCTCGCGTAGTTTCCTAGATCTAATGGCAATATCTCCGGCCCTCCTCCTCGTCCCCACACTCGACATTGATTTGGCATGGCACTCCCATCAGCTTACAGCGAGTAAATATGCGCAAGACTGTCGCGACACAGTGGGTCGATATGTCAATCAGTGAGTCCCCTTTGTGAGGTTGCAGAGCACAGCGGCTCTGACTGATTCGATGTGTCAGTGACGACAAGGTCGAAGAGAACTATCTAGTTATATCCCTGGACATTACTCGCCACGCCTGGCAGGTAGGCTTACAGCTATGTACACGCAACATGGTTTTTCTCATGTCTGGCGAATACAGGAGCGTTTCGGTGTGCCATACATGATCTGCGGATGCCCACTCCCTGGCGAAGCAGCCGGCCAGAGTTTAGGTCACCTCGTCAAGCTGCAAGAGGAGGGAAGCGACACTCGCCGAGACATCGATGCGACTCATCCGCGCGGGCGCAATCTACAGGAGGCGAATATGCAGGAGCGACGCTTTCCGTTCCTCGTACCTGCCCCCTTCGTCGCACCTACCTCTACGTGTGACTCTGTCGATACGCAAGTCATTGGTGGTGCTGGATCCCACGCAGCGGTCAGTCGGGACTCTTCTAGCGGCAAAGGCTCTGTGCTCATCCATGATATTTACGTCGCAGGCCTGCGGATCTTGTGGAGGTTGCGAGGGTAGCTCTTATGAAGTCACTGCCAGGGGATAGCACTTCGGCGGCTCACGATACGCCGTAGTTGGTTGTGGGTGAGGACCCACTAATAGGAGTGTTGTGCCTGTTGACCTAGTGCAGCCCACACAGAAGGCGATTGATATGTACGATGCAGTGATCCTGTGGAAATTGTCCGAATCGATTGAATCGGCACTGACTCGACTCGGATACGCCAGGTGATGTCTATGTATACGTTTCGAAATCTGTGATGAGTGTCAGTACGTGCGATCGCGCAGTATATTTGGGTAATGTCATCATGTGCTGCACATGACGCCTCGTGTTCTGGGACATCCGCTTGTGATCGAGGGCGACAGACGAAAAATGGACAGCCATGGTAGGGATGTTCTGTCAATATTGAGAATCTGATCCTCTGCCAAATGCGCACGCCAATCACTCAGTGGCATTACAGGATAGTCGGGCTGCTGCTGCGATATACATCGCATTTCAATCTGTTATCGCGTTATCCAGCACTACGCCATGGCGGTCAATACGCAGTGGTACGTTTAGTCACATCTTATATTGCATCTGGCTTGGACGGTGTATTACGAGTATGCAATAGTCATGCAGCTGAGACATTCCTTTGCGAGAGCGTGGTGTGGTGGTTTCAGTCAACAATTGTACGGGGTCATCACTCGCATAGTAGAGCTTGCAGTGGCATGTCAGGCAGGGCAAGGGCACTACCTGATAAGTCATATATGACGGCAAACGTTGGTATTTCAAGCATTCATAGGCACCTTCGTCCATTGATGCACACGACGAGCCGAGGGAAATTGATCTAATTGGTCGGTACCGAACGCAATAATACAATTGGTTTATACCACACTAACGTCAAAATCGTTCCTGACAGTAGACATAAACGCAGATGATGAGAATTCGCGTCGAAATCATACGGCAGCACCTTGTTGTGACTCGGCTCATGTAACGGCAGGACACAAGCCTATTGGTAGGAAACACTTCTTAATCCCAAGTACGATTCTTCGCCTCGATGTCACTCCCATAAGGGGTAACCTCGCCGCCTCTCAGCACAAGATTAAGGTTCGGGCGTGTTGCGGCGTGCGCTCGCTTCTCATAGACGCCAAAATATAAATGCTCACCGTCACCTTCGTCCTGGACAAGGTAGTCTCCTATCAACCCACTCAACTACCATGAGACACATTTTCACCTGCCTTTGGCCGCTCCTCATCGCCATGGGCGCCTTCATAACCTTCACGCCTCCTCCAGTCGTTGCGATGCCGCCTGATGTTGTTGCAAGGTGCGTGCGCAAGATTCGAGCAGTCTTGTTCTTCCGATCTGACTATGTGGTGTTGCACCACAGGAGCATTGCTCGTGGAATTATATGTGAGATATTCCTTCTCAATGTATTCTTTGACTGACTCACGAACGCACCCCGACGGCGTCGCACAGCACTACTTCCGAAAAGCCCGTCCTTGTAAATGAAGCCCTCGACATCGACTTCTGGGAACGCGCGGCACAGCTCGGCAACCTTGCACGAAAATACGCCGAATCGCGCATAAGTGAAGTTCAATCTACGTATCCTCATTATATCGAAGAGGTGGGGACCATCAAGGATGGCATTTCGCAAATGGTCTCTTGTGCAACTGGATTCAAAGCCCTCATAAAGCAAACAAGCCTACACACGGCGAGGGATACCAGCAACAGCGAGACAGTGTCTGACGATATCTCCAGTGAAGCCCTCGTGGATGACATCGTTGACAAAGTAGACAAGATCCTCGCGGAGCTTCTCGAGGAGCTTTCAGCGGCGTTCCCACCTCCAGATCATGCGACACACCACGCCGAAAGAGAAATCCAGGTCAGCAAGATTCTAGGTAAGGCAGAAGATGCCATTCCACGCATCTGCGTCGAGGCAAGCTTGCCGGAAGAGGAGGTGAGGGAGCAGTTAAAGTTCTTGCATCTGCATATTGTCACAGTTGTAGTCACAATCGGTTTGTCGTTCAATCCCTGCACATAGAGCCAGCTGATATTGATATCAATCATGCTTTGACTGTACTTTATGTAGGGGACATCACCGAGCAGCATCCAGACCTGGTGGAGATCCTCCTGATCACTGCGGTATTTATGATCATTCCAGAGGGGTGGATTCTGCGCCCTGTTGCTCGGCTGTTCGGTATTGGCCCTTATGGGCCGGTGAAAGGTGCGTTTGTTTCTCAGATTGGGGTAAAAAGCGATGCTTAGTCCTTTGTAGGCTCGACCGCTGCATGGGCCCAGCGGACGTTCTACGGAGCGGAAGTGAAGGCCGGAAGTTGGTTCGCGCATCTTCAGCGAGCGGGAATGAAACCAATGAAACCCATCGCTGACACCATCATGAAGTGGCTCGGAAGACTGGGATGTTTATTCTGGAAATGTAGCTGAAGGGCCGGAGCCTTCATCAATGATTGAGCCTCTCTGTGCATCTCGTGTTGAATCACGCAATACGTCGCTGAAGTCCTAGTCGGATGCAGAAATATACGATAGAAGCACCACGACCACTGCATAAACGCAGATGGTGAGAACTCGCGTTAAAATTAGACGGCAGCACCTTGTGAAGGATCGGCGCGTTACGCGACGCGCAATGCGATCCCGTGACCGTGAAGGCAAGATGGGCGTCTCCGGACGACTGTGAATGCTGCTCCGACTCGCTCCTAGGCAATCGCCCCGCGACTCGAGTCCTCTGTTCTCGCTGGTCGATAGACAGGCTGGTAACCTGAGCTGCTGCATACGAAATACCGCACGGACACCTCGATGAGTTCGTAGAAAGGATAACGGGTTCAGCCCGATAAGCTCACAGTATGAATCCTACCTGAATCGTTAACTTGCACATATACTGCGTCTTTGATTTAAGTTGTGGCAGGACCAATGCTTATACTTTGGTAATGCGCCCATTGGGCTGGATGGGGGAACACTTGGAAAACCCCTCGGACTGTGTAAGCCGCTCCGCTCAAGTCCAACCTTCAGGTAAATTGCCCTGCGGACCACAACATAATGCACTGGTGATTGCGACCTTGCATCTGCCAAATCCAACCTTTCCGTGATCTCCGTCTTTGACCAGTGTTATCTTCAGCTCGAGAGTAAATGTGACAAAGTGCCACACAACGCATCAGGCGCCGACCACTCCTGCAAGTCGGAACACGAGGCGGCTGGACTACGACAATGATAAGAGACGCCTTGGTCACCGGTGTGCACAGTTGCCTTACATGGTATGTTTTCAGACTCCGCACTCTTCACCGTTCTTATAATGAGATGTTCCCATCCCAGGATCTCGGCTAGGCCGTCGTCCGCTGCTATGAGCATGCTCGTACGCCGGACAATGCCTGAGCGGTGGGGTCGTATAAAGGTGTGCGAGGACGAGCGAGATATGCCCCCCAGCATTGCTCCGTCGCGTCGCCCGAGCCACTCACGCACTGTCCCGCGCACCCGCCATGTTCCTCACGCAGTCCGACATCAGTATTACCTATTCTCAAGATGATGCGGTCCTAGACGGTTCTTTCTCTTTAGATCCTATCGACTTTCTTGGAGTCCCGCGGAACTATGATTACTTCGACATCCCGGACCTCTTCCTCTTTGAGGATCTTTGTCCCGAGTCCACCTCCGAGGTCATTGTCTCCGGAGCATCACCTACGCATATGGGAGCCTTGGAAGCGACAGCAGCTCCGCCGGAGACAGACACCATGGATTCACCCCAATACATTCCTGAAGTCGACACGCAGTATGTGCACTTCTCACCGGATGACTTACATCAGTATCTGACATGTCTCCAGCTATTCTGAGCCCTATTTTCCCCTGCCGTCTCCTGGTCTCTCCGATGCAGTATGCGTCCCCGCCTACTATCCACAGGATGTGCACTACGCTTTTGATCCTGTTCCTTCTGCCTCGCCGACGGTATACGGCATTACCAGGTCCTTGGCCGAGCTCTCTCTGCTCGACTCGGGGAACATTACGCCGTACACTCCACAGCTCGCCGTTCCTATCACATCTCCGCCGACTCCCTTCTCTTCCGACTCGGAAGTTCTTACAGACAGCAGCAGCAGCGAGAGCTCCAGCGACGATGAATCTAGTCCGTCGAGCTCACCTAGCGTCTACACGACGACAACATTCCGTTCTGCATCGACCGCACCTTTGCCCTCGTCTTCTTCTCGCTCGCCCCCACGCGCGCACACGCGGCGGAACTCCCCCTACACGCGCGATCATCCCCAAAGGTCATCGAAGAAAGCGAGATCTGACTCGTCTTCTACGCCTGAAAACATTCCCAGACGTACGAAGCCGAGGAATATACAGACCAACTATTCCTTCCACGAACTCGAGGCGATGATCGCAAAGGGCTCGCGCCGGTGTCCGGTCGATGAGTGTTCATTCACGCCGGCGAGTGGGAAGCGAGACGATCTGGTGCGCCACATCAAGACGCACTGCGAGGACAAGGGCGAAGAGTGGGTGTGTTGCGGTGTGCCCTTGTCTTCGGCGCGGTCGCGTCGCGTCGCTGGCACGTGCAAGCCGTTCGAGTACGGGGGCCAGATGAGAGTGGGTGGGTGTCTGCTGTCGTTCAGCCGGAAAGATGCTCTGGGGCGCCATGTGAGGGACAGCAAGAATTGCGTGTGGGGTTCTGGCTAGGAGTTGGCCTCGTTTCTCTCTATTCTTTCTGACTCGTTTTTATATGACATGGCACGGGCTGGCCATGATTAGGATGCAAAGGGCGTCATCTGAGACGCCTTAATTATTTGGTTATATATTAGTGTATATTATAGATGTATTCTCCATTGTACATCTGTCAATGTGTCTGTAAATTCTCGGTTTGTCGGATTCTGCTGTCTGGACGCAGTGTGCCTTCCTCATTGCGCTCTTAGTGGTATAAACGCATGAATATCATGGGACAGCTTGGAATCGTTGGTAACATTCAACGCTCGAACAATCCCGACTTGGGAGATACCTGACCAAACGACGAGCTGCTTGAAGGTGCTCAATCCAAGAGATGCCTTGATGCGATACGTTCAGTGGTCATCCCCGTGCGATAGAAACGTTAACCACAGGATCACCGTTGTGCCGAATGCTGCAGTCCTCAAGTCGGAATCAGGTGTGTCCGGAATACTCGACTCAATATCAAGCTTGCACCTCATTTCACGTTGCAAGACACTCGCGTCTTTGCTCTTTGTAGTAACAAGTGCGATGCGACACCACCGAACTCGAGATCGCGTCGACGGGGAAACGCGATCCCGTGACCGCGTGCTGGTGGCTCACCAAGTGAAGCCTGTCCTAGTAGCAACCGTAGAAGAAGTAACAAGGCAAATCGCCAGGCTTTACTCTGAGTATACAGAACAAGTGCGATGCGACACCACCAAACTTGAGATCGTGTAGACGGGAAATGCGATCCCGTGACCGCGTGCTCGGGGTGCCTCATCAAGTGAAGCCTGCCCTAGTAGCAATCGTAGGAGAGGTAAACAAGGCAAATCTCCAGGATTTACTTTGAGTATGGAACGAACCAGAGCTTTAAAGATATCCCCCATCCATCGGTGGTAATGTTGCCAGTGGCTGAGGGACAAGCCCCGGCCCCGCATCCGGGCATGACGCAGCGCTCAGGCGCCTGTTTCAAACTCCGAACGTGAAGAGGTTCTTATACCGAAACGTTCCCATCCCAGGCTCACTCTTAAGGTAAACACCAACAGCGGCGACCATGCTGGCCATCCACACAATGGCTGGGCACTCTGGAGATATAAAGGTAGGTCGGGGCATGCGCGATGATGCCCCCAGTGCTCCGCTACTGCACAACAAACATCCCTTCGACTGCCCGCCGTGCCACTACGATGTCTTCAGGGTCTCGCGGACAGTCTACTACACTCCTCGTCTCTGCTCAGGGCGGTCCTTCTGCATGGAACGCGCCATACATAGGCCGTCAATATCTGCTACCCTCAGATCTCGAATCGTCTGTCTTCTCGTCTGATGACTGGTTTATGGAGAACTTTGCCAATACAACAGGGGAACCTACTGTAGCAGATGCTCCTGCTCCTGCTCATCTGAGTACGAATCGGTTGTACAGGACGCACGCTGAGTCTGTCCATGTTGCTGTTCCGGACATACACTCGCGTTTCGCGGGACACACGTACGTTCACCTGCCACTGGTCTAAGCATGCGATCTGACGGATTTATTCCAACTCTAGTGCAAGTCCGCAGTCAGTGTCGTCTGTGCATTGCTCACGGGCCGACTCGACTCCAATCTACCCCCTGTTTTCAACACAATCACTCCCTCATCAGAGTGTATCGGCTTCGAGCCCATACGAGATCTCTCGGAGCGCGGGACCTTCTGTCCCAGCATACTTTGGCTCCCTGGAATATGATATGTACCCCGAACCAATGGCGAACTTATCCTTGCAGGCCATCACACCAGCTGCCGGTACATCACACCATCCTGTCTTCGCTGTGCCCGCAGTGGTCTCCGAACCAACAACGGACATTTTCTACTCCAGTTCGCCCGAGCACCCGTCGCCTTCTGTATACACGAATTCTCCAGACAGCTCCTCGTCCTGCTCTCCTTCGTTATCATCGCCCACGTCGCCCTTCACTTCCAGCGATCCAGACCGGGTCCGCACATCGTCCGCACAGCGCTCGCCAGCGCCGAAGAAGACACGCCGTCGCGCCCCCTACTCGAGCGAATCTGCAAAGTCTCGACGGAAAACGTCTCGCTCGTCGTCTTCCTCCTCGAGCGTCAGCACGCCTTTGCCCACAGGCAAGCGGCGTCTTGCACCACCCCGCAATATCCAGGCTCCCGTTGACGTCGCTGCGCTTGTCCGTGATGATTCCCTACAATGCCCGGTGTGTTGGTATGTGCCTGCAGAGGGCAGTCCTGCTGCGCTGCGGCGTCACCTGGAAACCCATGACCGCAGCCTCTCCAACAAAGTCTGGGTGTGCTGCGGTGTGCCGGAGGAGATGGCGGGTATGTATGAGATCAGGAATGGTTCGACGCGACTGGAGCACAAGGGTCAGTGGATGGTGGGAGGATGTGGAATCGATTTCAGTCGGAAGGACTCTTTGATTCGGCACCTCAAGGACAGTAAGGAGCCGTGTACTGCCGATCTCGCTTTGGGTGAGGCACTGGGTTGGTTTGACAAATGATTGGACGTTCCGGGTCTGTCTTAGGGTGAGAGACGGCTTATTTATCCAGTTCTGCATGTATTATATTTTATGACTACCTGGGTACAACATTCAGATCCTTTCTGAATGAAGCACAATTTTTCGAAAGTGATCGTCATGGACGCTGGGATTTGACCAATGAGGTGGAGGGCGAGACAGATATCGTATCCAGGGCTCTCGGCCTCGCAGCTGGATTGTTTGGCATCCCCAAGTTTGGTTTTATAAAGAAGTCCGCCGATAGAATATGCATAACGCTTACATGACGACAACCGAATTGTGACTCTAGTTCTTATGCAGGACGTCACGAAGTCGGCGTGGCTTCATTCAAATGCACCAAATACCAAATCAATATCCCGTATCATTCTAAATCGGTCGCTTTTACGTTGACTCTGGCTACTATTCACATTAACATGAAGCAAGAATCTATTGACCCGCCGTAGTGTTCCAAGGGAGCGAGGAAATGTCGATGTCTCTAGCCATGTCGATAAATGGTCAGCGTGGCGGCAATCCTCGCTCCCCCCGGATTGACGTCGCATTGTTGATTGAGTCCGCCTTTGCTGTTTTCATGCACATTGTTTTTGTCCCTATAGAACCTATTTGGGGGCGTGTATTACGAGGAATTCGTGTCGAGGATGAGGGTCTTCCGCTGTGAGTACAACGAAGCTTTAGGTCCGGGACGTCTCTGCCTGCTCTCAGGTGTCCAAGCCATGATGCTGCATACAGAGCACGCGTGTTGCCCGGTACATATGCGGAGATCTGCGTGCAAGAGCGAGTCCGACGACGGGTCTAAATCCAATGGCCGCTACAGCGATAACGCCGTTGTGCAGCCTTATAACGATCGCGAAGCATGAAACTATAGGAGCGTTTGGTTGGTCAACATAGTTATATTCCGCGCATAGAAATGGATATGAGAGGAATCTGAAATATGCGGTGCATCTATACGAACACGCTCACCTGTAGGTACGTTCAAAATTGCCGCTTAAATCTCGCTGGAAAACAAGCAGCATTTAAGCGTCCAAAAGCAGCGAGCAGAATCTGAGCTCCCCTCCTCGAACAGCGACAAATAAGCGACTGCTTGGCGCAAGCGCTCGCAGATTCTGGCTTACAGCTATGTCACGCTTGCATGATTCGCTATCCTGATTGGCTGGTCAGCCCTTCGCGAACCGAAAACGTGATCAAATCACGGCTGCATCACGCTTAGTCATCTGTGACACTTTCAGCGACCTTTCAGCGACCTTCAGCCACATTTGGGCGTCCAAAAGCAGCGAAAAGTCGCTTGTTTTCCACGAGATTTAAGCGGCAACTTTGAATGTACCTATTGTCAAAACTGATTGGGCGGCAAGCGAGTCTTACAAGGGAGTGTTAAGAAGGTAGGCAAATGAATAACGGAGTACCATGTACAATGTTTCACTATGATCTACAAAACGGGTAGAGACGACCGGCAGTCCATCCACAGCATCCGTCCGATCCTGAGGCAATGGCGGTTGCAGAAGAGAGAACACATTCTCAAAGAGGGACGACGTCTCGGAGAGTCTGAGACCGGGGGCATGGGAGTCTACCTCATTGCGGGAGCAGAGCAAGACATCGAGTATGGGCCTGCTGGAGAGAGAAAGAGCTTGTGTGGGCACAGGGTGCTGGCACTGCAGGTCGCGGTGTCATAGGACCCCGGCGAATCCCCCAAGAGCTCTGATCCCGCGCGGACCCCCCTCCGGGGGTCAGCCCATGGTCGATTTCGGGGGAACTTCACATAACCTCGCCTGATTCCGGTCAGTTTTGGGGGTAAATGGCATCTAACGTCTGAACATTGCAAAAAAGGCGAGAAATTGCAAAAACTCGCGCGCGCGATTGTACCATTGTCACAAGGCCGTACATAGATTTAGAAGTACCGACTACTACACTGAGGCCACTGATTGACGTGGTACTAATCTCTCTACTTCGGATCTTTGTATTTGCACAAGATCATTAGACCTATAAATTCCTACTTACATGAAGTTTGGTATCGAGAACCGATAAGTAAAGTAACATAGCGACGAAGCGGTATGAAGAAGCAATCGAGTGAGACGTCACCGGTATCATCGTACCTTTCCGGCACATTTCGACACCCGTTCCGAGGCCGGATGGACCTTATGTTCGGGGGTCGAGGATCATACCTCGCCCCGGACGCCTGGTTTCGGGGGCACCTGGCACATAACCTGACCGCCGTCCGGGCCCCGTTTCGGGGGTTTGAGATGTAAGATTTTGGCTCCAGAGGCCCCCTTTTCGGGGTTTTCGGGATCAGAGCTCTTGGGGGATTCGCCGGGGTCCTGGTGTCATGCGAGAGGCATTATTTGGTCCTGTTAGGATCCAAAGCCAATAGCTTTGATGCCCATTATGCCTCCTTCTCATTTCCAATCGAATTCCCCTGAGGTTCGTGACTCAATCTTCGCGACTATTGCTTGTATTGGCGCGTAGTCTCTTCGTTTCGGTAAGCCCAACAGATTTATCAGATCATACTTGTGTATTTGCATCGCTCAGCCGGATACGACCATCCTGTAACCCATGGATCTATCTTGATCACATTCACTCCGTGACTGCTAGTCGTGATATACGAAAAGCGGCAATCGGTAAGTTCATTGCTGAGGAGTATGACAGTTCGTGTTCATTTTTTCTGTTTCCAAGGTCGTGTTTCTCTCTTAATTCTGTGGGGTATCTTGCTCTCGAGGTGCTGGTGCTGAATTGACTGTAGTCCTGAGGTCCGTGCAAGCTTCTTATATTGTCTTATTCTGTAACATAATTTATTTACAGTGTCGAACGCTCGGAGAATGACCGCCGAAGCATTGGGCCTAGTGCCGCTGCAGAACGGCAGGGCCCTAATTTCTCGCATTCCAGACGACATCCTTTACGAGATCTTCGTGCTGCTCGCCTGGGAAGGCTGGGAAGATGATAGTCCAGTGAATAAACCTTCACTGACAGGTCAAAATAAGTGGCTCGCAGTATGCCACGTATGCGCCCATTGGAGACACCTCGCTCTGGCGTCTCCGAGGCTCTGGTCCGTGATCACGATCGACAGAAGCTGCGATCCTCGCATGCTTCACGCCTTCCTCGAGCGCTCACAGGATCATCCCCTCCGGGTCAGTTTCCAAGGCCCCATCCCGGACGAAGATACCGTCACACACAGCATCTTTGCCTCGATGGCTCGTTTGCTCAACAATAGCGCGCACCGTCTCGTGGAGCTCAGCATCTTGGATTTTAAGGAAGCGGTCACTTCTCTCATTGCTGTCCAATTCGTGAATCCCGCACCCGAACTGCGATCCTTTAACATCATAGTTGAGCCGCAGAACAGTCCCTCCCCTTATGACTTACCACGGACCATGTTCGCGGACAACACGCCGTTACTGAAGACCATCATGCTCGTGAACGCCGACTATCCCCATCGTCCGTTCAGCAATCTGACTAATATGTGTGTCATGTGCGGAGTCGTGCCGTCACTGGAATATATGATTTCGGCTCTACGGCTCAGTCCCACGTTGGAAATGCTAGCCGTAGGGTTGAAACACCCCACTTCACCCCCGCAGTTTGCTTCTGGGATTGATAATATCGCCACGCTCGACCTCCCTAGACTGCGGAAGCTTGTCTTGCATGCCCCTCACGACGTCGGAGCGGCACTTTTATCCCGCCTCTCCTTCCCCACTACGGTGTCCACCCTTCTCCACCTCATCGGACGTCCTCAGTCGCCTGATCAACGCACGCGAAACCCTCCTGCACTCCAAGCACTGGCCTCTACCATCCGCAGCCTCGAATTGCAGGTCTTCCGCCTCCGCGGATCATGGGTCGCGCAGACGGACTCCACCTCGTCCATCTTCTCCATCCACTGGGTAGGGATCGACTACGACGGTGAGGAAGACGAAGACATAATCAACAGTAGGCTGGATCACTTCGGTTTCATCACGACCTTCCCCAACACCCAGCACCTCTCCATTAAATCGGTCTCGTACCAGCTCTACCCCTCCGACTGGAGGCACATTTTGCGCACCATGCCCTGTGCTATCTCCATGGAGCTCCATGATACGGCCTCGCTCGCGCTTGCTGAGGCTCTCAGGCCAGCGCGAGTGGCTGAAGATAGTCACGATGAATTGGGCCACAGCGGCATTGTGTGTCCTCTCCTGCAGTCGTTCACTGTCCTAACTGCCCTTCGCGCCTACGTCCTGGACATTTTAGTGGGCGCCTTCGAAGCACGCAAAGCCCGAGGTCTGGTACTGAAGACTCTCACAGTTATGCTCGACACAGGGATGATGTACACGCCTCGTCTCCTTCAGCGTTTGCAGGGCGTTGCGCAAGACGTGTTGATACACTATGGTGTGAGGACTGATAATGCGTGAAGGGGCTTCGATGGATGTATGTTCCCGAGACTAGGCCTCCGATAACATTATTGTTGATTTACACCCAAGGCCCGTTTATACTTATATGTAATAGTACATGCAATACATTCGTATTTAATGACACATACACATGACAGCCAAGGATGCCGAAGGTTAGGAAGTTGCATGTATCGTGGCGAGCTGACAAACTTTCCGAAATGCATTCTCGCTCAACTAATCGTGAAGCGCAGGCAAAGTACCGTAAAGTCCGTTTGATGATTGGCGTTAGAGGGTTTGTCTGTGTAGGATCTTGTTTCCACGACGAACGAAGAATGAAGCGGTTGTGTTATGAACTGGACTGCCGGATGGTGAATCGACAGCGTGGACTCTTGCTGTCGAATGAGGACCATTGTATTAAATCGACGGAATGACGGCCCCTATGTTGCTAGTGCGCTTGTAAATATCCAGTTTCATACACACTTCGATAATGAATAAAAACAGCGATTGAGTGACATTCCTCACGTAGTCCGCACACTGAAAACCTTCCTGGAGTCGATGCGGGATATCACGGCAGAGACGAGCTTCGTGGGCAACTCGTTCGATTGGCATTATGTCGAAGCCGGCACATCGCGGGCTACGAAGCAGAATTCCGCCAAGGACGGATATATCCTGTGTAGTTCGTAGTCCAACACGTCTCAGATCGACTCACACTTTGCACAGGCCCCAATTGAACATGAGCGAAGCCGGCTTGGTCGAACCACCAGTGGTACCGAAGTATATGAGAAGGCCGGGCCCTTTAGCAGTCTTATATCTGGTAATCCTTGTAGACGAATGTCATGTCGTAGCGAAGTGGCGAGTCGAATCGAGATGATCCTCGTCTAACCGCTTCTCGATCATCGATTGTCGTTCTTAAAAATACTTTAACGGCTGCTCTCAATATTCTCATGACTGAATCAGAGAGTTGCGTTATGCCATTCAGGGTCTGCACGCGCCCCGAAACAGAAACTGCAGGAAGGCAAACAATACCACCCGAGATAGGAGAAGACTGGACATAGATACAAAGACCGGAGATGCCGCGAACAGAGTTCTTTGTAGGCCCTGAAGAACATATCATCAACACTACAAGACATCTGCATTCAGATCGGATGGCTACTCGGAGGCAGCTTTCACTGCCATCGTGGTCAAGCACTGTCAGTATCATAAGGCCACAAATGTTTTGAGAGAGTATAGCCTATCTATGGTCAGTATCTATGCGACCGATCCAAGGGTAGGTGCTGTTCCATATACCGCGCGGAGTAGGGTTGGCAGATAGCCGTCGTCTGCCAGCGGTGGCGGTGAGTCTGCAGTTGTGGCACCGCACATGGTTGAACGTCACGGTATCGCGTGATGGCGTTAGTCACGCATATCCAGTGTCACGGTCGCGTCGATGTGGCGATTCAGATTTTCCATCTCATCTCATACCTGGTTCAGCAAGCTGGCTGGGCAAGACGTTCAGATTCGGAGTATAGGCCCCTTCAAAGAGGATGAAACGAAGCGCCCGCCATGTAGAGCGCGTCTGTCGCATTGCCATATTGATCACGAAATTCCACATGCCCACCGCCTCCTGGCGGCAGCCACCGCTAATTGCGCAAGGCAGACACCATGCGTAGCCATCATTCACTTTGCATCCTCTTTCACTGCGATATACACACCCTACACTGTGCCGCTAAATATCTGCTATCTCATATGAGGGATATCCTTCTGGACATCCGAGTCTGGCTTTGACGCTGGGTTGCATCTGCACCGCATAACATCATAGGATCTGCGGTATATTCCACTGATACTCGGCTGAGCAAGCTATGCACCAAATAACTAACTATGCTGACGTCCTTTGCTCTCCGGTGCATTCAGCGCGATAAGTATCATAAATCTTTGGATATCCGGATAGCCATTGTGGTCTGTGCCTCGCGAACAAAAGGCGGATTCCGTCCGCACTGAGCGCGGTCAGACGTGGTCTATCTCCAGTCTGCATCGTATGTTGAACCTGCGACAGGGCTCTCCTCAACCACGCAGTGTATGATGTGTGGGCCTTCCTTATCTCTTGTGGATTTGCAGAATTTACGACGTCAATGATTTCCAGAAGTCATACTCTAATCCTTATACACGTCCAAAGAGTGTTGTATAATCCAATACATGCCCTTCCGGTGTGATCGCAGACCTACGATGCAGCACGCTCCCTACCATATATCCAACTTAAACCCTCTGCGCCGCTATATCAACTATCGCGCTCCGCGACCGGACCTGCAACAGTCGACCCACTCCCGTGTGTGCTCTCTGGTCGGTCCATTTTGATGTGGCTTCCATATCGTTCTTTCTCCCACCTCGAAACAGTTTGCGTATTTCCTACCAACCGCAGCACAGGCATAGGTAGAGGCCGACGACCATTCGGATAATCTGCATAGCTCAAGCGCGAAGTCGTTTGATCACCGGGAAAGGACGTTGCTTAGTTATAAGCCAGCATTCTCGCAACCTCGGTGTCAGCAGTTCTCTCAAGCCAAGCAGTTCTCTCAGCTCTCTTACAGGTACGTCGAGACCGATTCCTCTACTGCATGCCTGCAGCCTGAACCATCTCCCTCTCCCCCTCCTCCCTGGCACATAGGTCTCGGTTCCTTCTGCTAGCGAATTTCGCAGTCGTGTTTCTTTGCTTTTTACCCCCTAATTGTAAGTGGTGATACTTATGTCGACACTGTCTCTTAAAGTATCCTTTTCCCCACCTGCCAAGCAGTCTTCTACGATTGTCCATGGCCGACTCCCAACCTCAGTGCTGCTGGTCGGGATGCAGAACTCCCATCCCGGCTGATGTACGGAGCATCAACGACCACCTCAGCCGATCCCATGGCGTGAGTGTCACCCGCGGTGACTACGTACAGTGCAGATGGCCTGGATGCCCCCATCAAATCCCTGGTACTGCTCTGGCGAGGCACGTCCGGACCGCACACTGGCGCTGCGGTTGAGGAAGATGCCCATGATAAGGCCATAGAGTTGGCATGAAATGTTTCGAAAGCGCCCAATCTTGTCACCAATAGAGATGTAGCATATTTCTTGACCAAAACTCTGTAGAGAATGTATGTAGCCCGAGCTTCTTGTAGCCCCCTGCCCGCCTCTGTTTATTAACACTACTTGCTGTGGTGCTGCACTGAACAAACCGAGAGTCATCGTGCTCTGCATTTGAATGACTACAAACTATTTTGTTGTTGAGTAACTGTATTTGATAGCTAACGAGAAAACAACTTTAGACCGCTTGCCAGGAGTGCGTGCCCTAGTGGCTTGGCCGAGGGTGGGCGATCGTTGCTCCACAACCAAGCTGATACAAACTCTCGATTTATACATTGTAATCATCGCATCAAGAAATGCATGTACGCGAGCCATGCTCGGCAACGTTCTCTATGGAATGCGGGAAGGTTCCCAGCCACCTCAGACCCTCCTTCCTTCCTAACAGGATGGGCAGGTGGGCCAAACAGAGCACGCGGGCGTGGGCGGCTATCACCCAGTCGTGACAGCTGGACTGCTCTACCAATGGGCTATTCTCCTGAGAGCAGCGTAGACCAATCCTTCAACCCGCACTGGCCCCGGATATCCATCTCTGACCAATGGGTGCAATATTCACTATTGCATTGACAAACTACAGCATCGGACCTCAGTGCGTAGCGGTAAAGAGTACCCCGTATACTTCCAAACAGTCTCCCGTCCAGTTATAAGGGACATACAGTAATATTAAGGGAAATCTCCCGTACGGCGTCAAGTGCTCTCCGCGTGCGCTGCTAATTTCAGCGCCGCGACGTTGTCTAGCAACGTGAACGTCCTCTCTTTATCGTCCGCGTCCTGGAAGCGAACGGTTTGAGTCTTAACGTCCGGCGGGAGCGCGGCCGACCCGAGCTCGCCTGCCTTGCACATACTCTGGCCTAGCGTGCGCACCTGTGACGTAGCATCTTCTGAGCGTCGTGCGCGGACAATGAGACCGAGATGACGTACGGGAATTTCAATCATCGACGAGAAGCACGCGAGGACGCTCGAGATGCCCCTGATATGCGAGCGAACAGTGCGGTCAGTCATCCTCCGCATACATGAAGGATGGAAATCTCACGAGAAGGCCCACTCAACAGGCCTGAAAGCCTCCCTGTCCGCTTGCGCGAGGAAAGCTGGCCGGAAGATGATCACGTCGTCAAAGCCTATACTCGCGAGTCCTTGCTCGGTGAGACCTTTGCTCCTGCAGGTAGATCGATAATCATATGAGTAAATGTATGATGCGGCGATAAAGTCGTCCCACCGAGTGTACAGGAAATACGAGGAGGCATCCGCGCCGATGCTCTGAGAATAGCCCAGATAAAGCGTGAGTGGCGGTGAGCAAAATATGGCGGGCATGACACACCGAGCAGTACACAAGACGTTGCTTGCGGGTTGGGTTCTGCGACTTGGCCGCACGCGCAGCACTGAGAACATATCTACGGGAGGCACGTCAGGTTAGGAGATCTCGCAAATTGCACTTGCATACTCTCTGTCAATCTTCTCAAATGCGGCTGCACTGCCCGCTGCCGCGCGAGACGTGGCCAATCTATAGTGCCCTCAGTCCGCTTCCCATATGAAGTTGTAGGCACGCCTCGACGTACGTGATATACACGACATCCCACTCCCCTTCACTCAAGCCTGCATCTGCAACATGCTCAAAATCGATCGTCTTCTGCACGAGCTTCCCACTCTTCGTGTAGTCCCCGACTTGATCCTCCGGGGTGACTCTGCGGCCGTATTCCCCGACACGCGTGAAAATGTTGGAGGCCAACAACGAGCGCAGGAGGTGTTTTCCCGTCGCGCCAGTTGCTCCCAGAATCAAGGCGGATGTGCTGTTAGACATTGCGGAAGAGTCTTAAGGTGCAGTGTGTAGTGGTATGTTGGCAACATATTGTGCTGTGGGGGTCATATATGGTCTTTGATGGATTTGCGCCGCGCGTATCCTCGGCTCCGACCCGCTCGGAGTGGGAAATTGCTTCCGAGGCCGTAGCTTGGCGTGACAGTTGATCCCACATCATGATGCAAGAAACACGAAAACTACGCACTGGATTGTGAATGCGGGGCTTATCAACGCACTATCTGTGAGCAGCTCCTTAGCCCGCCCATACGGTTGTCTATGTCTTGCGTTCGCACGCACCAATGCCGTGATCAACAGTGATGTATTAACGGCATGGGTCAGATGTTGGGAAGTAGTCCATAAGGATCGATGAGTCAGGGAGTGACAGTATTAGCGAGTGGGAAAGCGAGAGGCCATCTACATGATGATGAATTACGAGAGACTACCGAAAGCAAACATGAACCGATAGGAAGTGGGCGAAGCCCCCCGCCCCCCTCCCCCTTCGTGGGAAACAATGGGGCAAGGTTCCCGGCGCAGAACACAGGACCATGAATTGTCGGAATCCCGAGTAAGCAGCGATACCCAAGAAGTAGGAGGGCAGTGACGCATCCGCGAAGTCGGGATACCCAGAGGCTAGGAGATGAACGAAGATAAAAGCAGAACTCACAAGTTAGCGCACCGGCGGCATGGAATAGCGCACCAGGCCATCGCGAAGGTCGGGCACAGCTTGCATGTAGGGCGCCATGACCTGCGCATGCTTGCGAAGGTAAATGGAGAAGGAATCACCCGCCCAGCGCCCCTTCGATTTGACAACATCGAGGGGTACACCACGAAGGAGGTACTCCAGCGTGCCACCCACGCGTATACCATGTCCCTGAATGGGATCAATACCCGCAGCCCGGGCAGCAGAGGTGAGGCGCGCAATGAAGGCGCGACGAGTTAGGGGACGCACACCCTTTGCATGGCGAAAAGCGAAAAGCGGAGCATCGAGCGGGAGGTCATTGATGAGAAGATGGGACGCGAGGGCCGCAGACGGGTCAGTGGGGCCAAGTTGCACCGCCCAGAAAATATCCTCCCCGGCCACAGGGGCCGCCTTGGTAGAGGGAATGAACAGGACTGTCTCCTCAAGATGGTTGCGATCCCGCTCCGTGCGGACGTCGGAGCGCTTGACATGACGAGTCGGGTACGGTTGCCGACCTGTACCAGGTCTACTTTTGGAATCTGGACTTGGCGCCTTTCGACCCCGGATCATGATCCGGTCTGGATCGGACCTTCGGGATGTTCCGTGTATCACGTGAGCCTCTCCTTTTGTCCACGTCGTTCAAACCTTCGTGTTCGACAGTCTTGCTCCTTGCGTTCTGGTATGTCGTCGAACGAAGATAATGATCATAACTACTATAATCACAATCCCAACGGAAATAACCAATACACCCACTGCCGTGAGTTCTCACTGATCTGACTTGTTTAACTCGAGTATTTGACCTGTTGTTGTCAGCTCCACCCGACTGCCCTGTTGTCGAACGACTGTTGCGACAGTATCATAAGCGCAACATATGCAGTCGGGTGACATTGAGCAACATATTCCGGGATAAGCATGGCATTCTAATAAGGTAAGCCTTCCTTTATTATTCATACCTCTTGCTAATAGATATAATGTCGAACATTGATATAGTCCAACCAACATAGACCGACATCGGAAGAAGCTGAACCTACGTGGCAGTAAGGTCACGACCCGGAGCCTGTCCGATGTGCAAAAGCGCCAGCTTGTGCTAGATCAAATGGTGAAGGACCCGACACGTCGTCAAGGCCCACAAATAATCAAAGAAGGAATCTTATTCGATACCGGCTTGAATCTTACACGGTAAGTACTTGAATTATGTCTCTATGGTGACGTGATGCTACATACATCCTAGTGACTACATTACGAGCGAGATGCATATCCATGATCCCGAAGGCTTCGCACTACGGCGGCCAACTGCACGTAAGGTCCATCGGGAAGCATTAGTTGCCCTTGGACCTCATCATGAGTGGAGCGGTGACGGCCATGACAAGCTCAGTGCGATCGGATTTCCGATATGGGGTGTACGGGATAAATGGTCAGGCAAGTGGCTCGGGCTTTGGGTTGTTCTGAACAATCGTCGCAAGGACACGATTGCATTTCTTTATCTTCGTTTGATACGGGAACTCTCTGGTAAGTATGTTCATACTGTCACATTTACCTACGGCTGTTAATATGCAATAGGTATGCCTATACAGATGACCACAGACTGCGGCAGCAAGACAACTTCGCTACATGGATTTGCAAATGCTTTACGGTTCGTAAAGTGTTTGTATTAGATAACAACACACATAACTGATTCAAAGCTAGGGAAGCTTATGCACCTCACTTACCACTCAATGAACTTCCCGCACATCGCTTTTTAAAAAGCATACACAATATTACAATTGAACGTGGGTGGCTGCAACTGGTATTGCGATGGGGCAGAAATGTTAAGACATTTTGGCATGTGGGCGACGGGATTTATAATCCATCAAATCCGCAACACTTGTACGTTTTTCTGCTTGGTCACATGTGTTTTCTAATTTTTGCTTTAGTGAGCTTGTTCAATGGCTCTGGCCAATGCTTATTCAATGTGAGCTGGATATGTTGAAGGAATGCCTCAATTCACATATTGTGCGTTGTGACCTGAAAAAGAAATTGCCATCGGGTACCTCTCTGGATATTGCATATGACCTTTTTGCATGCTACGGTGGTGATCAATGTCTACAGCCTGTAGACTGTACGGTTGTGGATGCCTTGATGAAAGACCTTGGCGGAGAGGATCTTATATGGTTTGTTGCCCCGGAGTATGCTGAGCGAGCTAATCATGTGCTTGCTGAGATCGGCTATTGTGTAGAGGACCTTTCATTTCATAACATATGGAATGTCTTTAGTATGATGCTACCATTGATGTAGAACCTGTGCAGTAATCATAAATACAACTTGTTGGCATGTTTTGTCATGATTGCACTTTATTCAACTTCGCAAATACATTTTGGTTCATTGTTTCAGCCTGAAACAGCAGAAAACATCATGCATTGGTTTGAAACAGGTTCTGCATCTCTGTAATCGACTTATTACACCCTATCGGGAAACTAGGTGAGCCTGACAATATACTTTCACCTTCTTTGCAATGATGCGGACATTTGCCGGTACACGAAGTGTCAGAGGGTAGGCTGCGGCAGCGGGCTAGATGTATACAAACAACTTATATGGTGACGGTGATGCGGAATATGAAGTCAAGGGGAACGGGTACGGCTATTGCAGAAAGTATATAATATGTACTTGCTTGTTTGAATACACGCACTACCACACGTCACAATGGGCAAGTGCTCCGGGTGCGGAAATCACTTTCCTCGACTGTCAGATTCTATGTGCTCCAAGTGTACAAAAAAAGCGGCAACTACAGCTGACAAATACAGTATTATTGATGTACGTGATCCAATTTGTTTTCATATGTAACTGACTACTGCGATAGCAACAACCACAATGTGCTGACTGTGGTGTTCTCTACCCGTTCAATGCATCGCTTTTGTGTGCGAGCTGTGTACAGGATGGACATAAAGGTAATTTCACACCTTGCATTTCCGGCAGAATAAAACTACAACTAATGTGAATTGTAGACTTGACCCTTTTTGCGGGTAAGTTGAACACCTGAGATCGCAATTTGGGCATTGTATTGACCTTGATATAAACAGGTGCGGACAAATTAATTGAGTTCATCAAGTCCAGCACGCTCAAGCACGAAAAAGAAGCATCCACGCACCGTCTCAATCAAGGCACACAGGAGATGCAAGGCCCGTCACAGAAAGCTTCATTTCAAACTACAGCAGGTATAAATGCTCGCATCAACACTTTGCGACTACAGGCGAAATCAGAGACAATGACTGTAGACATCACGCTCTATGCTTACCCACCAGTCACTGGTGCGGCAGCAAAAAAGGTGCTGATGCATCATTAGCACATAAGTTATATAACATTGACACTTTTATTTTAGGTACAAGTGCCTTCGCTCCGACGGCAGTTCAAGGCCAGTGACATTGCCAACAATGTGCTTGACGAGGTTGTCAC